AGCAGGATCTGCTGCAGAACGGCATAGCGGTGACACGGGGCAATTCTCCAGGGCCTTGCATTAGCGCGCTAAATTAAAGGGGGTATTAGATTAAATTGGCTCTCCGATTTCAGGGGTGTGAGTAAAATTCTGATTTGCATTTTCCACCGCTGCTTAAGATATAATTAGTTCAGGGTGATTCCCATGTGGAAAACATTGACAGGCAAATCTAGCTGGTTGCCGGTAGCTTATCGTCTCTTGCAAGGCAAAAAGGTACGCTCAGCTCATGCCTGGTGCGTTACTCTGTGCTTGTGTGCCTCTTTGCCTGTGTGAGTGGGAAAACAGGTGCAAGACAGGAAACATGCTATTTGTGAGTTCTGTAAGCTCTGCATCTGAGGTTACTACATCACCCGGTTCTTCAAGTTTTCAACAGGATGACAAAAAAATTTAAGCAGCTATAAAATCAACACACTGTTGATATTGGCAGGAAAATACAAAATAATGTACTTTGCAAAAATATTCATGACAACTGGATATTTTTCCTTTGCATGGTGTTAAAATGAAAAAAATAAAATAAAATAAAAAAATATTTGGGTTTTCAGTGATAGACCTAAACAAAGTAGTGTAGAAGTGGAAGAAAATGCATAGATAGTGTTTTTTTTTTTTTTTTTTTTTTTACAAATAAAACTGAAAAGTGCTGCACATATTTGTATTAGCATTACTTGATCTAAATCATGGAACTGTAGCTGTGGCTTTGCCACAGCTACAGTTCCATGTCCTGCTGGAAGGTGAACCACCGCCCCAGTTTCAATTTGCATAAAAGGTTTTCATTCAGATCTGCCCTGTGCTGAGTGTCATCTCTCTTTCCATCGACTCGTCCCGATCCCTTTTACAGAAAAGCAACCACACAGCATCACGCTGCCACCACTGCAGGGTTTGGTTTGGTGTGTTCAGGGCGATGTGCAGTGTTAGTTTTCAAGGTAGAGAGCCACGTTGTGGTAATTTGGCAGTTGTATCATACTATTTATTTTTCGGACCACTGATTGAACAGAGCTTTGAGAGATATTTGAAGCTTGGGAAATTGTTTTATAACCTAAATCTGCTTTAAACTTCTCCCCCAACCTGTCCGATATACTCATTTGTCTTCATTATGCTGTTTGTTCCCTAATATTCTTTAACAAACCTACAAGGTCTTTGCAAACGGAGCCAAATTTATACTCAGGAACAATACAAATCCACACAAGAAGACTGTCTTTACTAGCTAAGCAACTTCTGACAGTAATTATTTATAGTGGACTTTATTTAGAAGTAGCAGAGTACAGAGGGCTCAGTACAAAAGTATGTCACACATATTCTATTGGTCTGTATTGGTCCTCCACATACAACCCAGTAAAACACTAAGCGCTTTTGCATGACACTGTATTTGCATTAGTGTAAGGTTTATGTAAAAAAACAAAAAAAACAAAAAACAAACATATCTCTCAAAACTAACTCGTGAACGTCCCTCTTCTGACACCAACTTTTGACTCAAAAGCATTTCCGTAGCCAAAAGCCTCACCTGTAATTACAAACGCAGAGCCAAAAATAACAATTACTGCCGGAAAAGTCCATCCTATGAATTACTGAAGAAGGTGAAGAAGCTTTTAAAAGCAAGTGCAGGTTTGCTTAGAGGCTGCACACCCTTGCTAATTCCACCCTTCTTTGCAAATAGATGTTTTCCAGAAGCGAGTCTCCCCTCGGATAATAAACATGAATCCAGCTTCCTGCGCACCTGTTTGGGGGCACCTGTTCGAACATGAAACTGACACATTTGGAGCATCCACATCCAGTCCACACTAAACCAAGGGCAGCATTGTTTTTCCACACTGCCCAAAAACTACACCAACTAAACTCAGTTTACCTCATAATGCATTAGAGGCATTCGAGAGACCCTGGTTATTGTGCTAGCAATGTTTCTTGCATTAAAAGGCATTAAATTTAATTCAAACATACATATTTCTAAAAAATAGTTTCAAAAGTCAACTTCTTCCCAAATAACCGCTAGCTGTACTAACAAACTGTAACACTTGTGTTTTCAGTGAGGAATGTTTTTGGCCAAAATGAGAGCAACAACAACATCAGTAGCCAGAAAACATGATATAAGCTGAAAGGCATATATGGTGAGCTTAGAATACTTAATAACAAAAAATCAAGTGCGATATATTCAGATTAACTAAGAATAAAATATGTGAACCATCTGGAATCAGTGTACAGTAGTTTGGTCCCTGTTTGACCAATTCAACAGTTCAAATGATTTTTTTTTTCTCTTGTTTTTGGCAAAAACGAATACTTACACCATTATTTTAGGAAGAAGATAACATTGTGCTTTTCACCTTTTTCTCCGTCTAAGATATTCCTAAAGTAAATAGAGCATCAAAAATACTATCCTTTTTTTTGTTTGTTTTCTTTCATGAATCCAAATAGGTTTTTCCAAATCTCAAACTGTATTTTAAATAATCTCTGATGAGAGTAAAATAATCTAGACAAGGTTGAACCAGCATAAACATATAATGTTGACCATGAAATGGTCAAAAGCTGTACAGAAAACTCTAATACAGCCCTTTGTTTGTGAATTAGATTCCAACTTTAAATCCAATTAGGTTCTGGAATCCCTATTTGACATTTGCTGGCCTGGACAGAAAGCCATCTAAATCTGTCTGTAACTGAGGTTTGGTTTTTAAATTGATTAACATCTATTTTAGTAATTGGCCAATTTTTTGACAGTGAGGAGGTGAATAATTTGCCTTGTTTCAATATTTCTTTTGTTTGTTTTAGCCCAGCCCCTAAACATACGAAACAAATACAACTTATTTGTTCAATTTGAAAAATATACATTTTAAAGAATTAAGATAGAATCAGTAATAAAGTAGTTTTGTTATTCAACAGAAGACAGATAGTTAGATTCCAACAAGGAGAAAAGTTTTTTGTAAGCATCATCCTGTCAAAATGAGAGTCATGATTGGCCATCTGGTTAAATTATATGTTCCACAGTTAGTAGAAATGCATGAAAATACAGTTGAATCACCGAGTACCAGCTCCTTTAGTCTGTTTTGTTTCTTTTCTTCTTTTGTATTTTATTTTTTATCGAACCAATTCCAGTGCTAAACTGGTGCTACTGCTCACTCACTTAGCGCCAGTTCTTTTTGCTTCCACCTCTGCAAGTTCTGGCTGACACCAATAAAATGGAGCTTTCACAGCACAGACTCTCATCTGGATCAGAGGAAAGAACAGGAGTTTGATGTAGGCTTAATGAAACCAACAACCAACCAACATTTTGTTCTTTATTTGGCTAATTGTAAACAAATAACTGTAAGAAAAAACACAGACTTTCAACATTATGATATGAGCTCTCTGTCCTTACATTTCCTTCGTTCAAACATTAAAACGCTACTGTTCACACAGTTACAGCCACTGTTTTCTGCTAAATTCTTCCACACAACTTTTAAGTCAGTTTTGAAGAAAAAAAAAATAGCAATATTTTAATATGGTCAGATTGGGTTGCAAACGCCTCCTGTACTGTGTGGCTTCCAGCACGCCTGGTGCTGATCAGAGATCACATGGGTGGGATTCTGAGATAATATGATTTGTGCAGGAAAACTGTCAGAGTACACATTATAAGCTGGAGAATGAAACATTTGCTGGACGAGATCTTTATAGTAATGTACTAATATAACACCAAACTGGTTATGTATGTATGTATGTTTTGTTTTGTTTTTTGTTTTTTTGTAGAACCTGTTATCCGCTAGCATTTGTAACACTGATCTAATGAAAACTACAGGAAGTGAATATGATCAGAAAAATATGATCAGAATCATATTTTTTTCTGCAATTTTAACCAACTTTCATTTGATCACAGAAAAGGAGTCAAAGCAGTAATTTGATATTACATTAGTCTGTGTTATCTTAGAAACCCACGGTAAAGAGGTGGTGGCAAAAGTGAGCAAAGATTTTGACAAACCGATGTCTTAAGTTCAGTCTTAACAAATTAATTCATAAATGCTATTTTTTTTTTTCCAAAAGTAGATTAGGTAACACTTTATGATTAACCCAGTTTTCCTCTCTGTGTAATCACTTAATTAATGAGCAAATTATCCGAGCCTCAGGTTGCATCTGTTAGAAACACATTCATCCAGGCCCCTGTAGGCATCTGTGTGAGTCTGAGGGCAAAGAGAAGCATATTTACGGCTGAAGATTCATATTTGGCCTTTGCACTTGACGCCCAAATGTCAACTGGAAAATAAATCAGCTTAAATGAACCTGTTTGCCTTCATAGCTCTCTTGATATGCATCTGTCCCAGACTGATCCACACACACACACACACACACACGCACACACACACACACACACACACACACACACACAGTCTGCATACTGTGTACCCACACTTCAATCAGTTCATTCATAATGTGTGGAAGGGGATCAGTTTATGGGATTAACCACCGCCCCCACCTCCCACACACACACACACACACACACACACGCATACAACACTTTGGGCCCAGGGAAGGGGGGTGTTTTGAAAAACGCCATCAGCAGCTCCACCATCACTCTCACCATCTCTTGGTGGTCAGTGGCTGAGGCTCTGTGGGATATTGATTCTCCCCATCCAGAGACGGCTTCCATAATTGGTTAAAATGACCGGGTGCGGAGAGAGATGGCTCTCTGCTGAAAACCATTTCCCAGCCCTGCTTGGAGCAGAGCCAAACTCGGGGTTGTTCGGATGCGTTCCAGCCCCAGCCTGACTGGCAGCAATTAGGGGTGTCTGAGCCAAGCTCAGCTTGCGCTCCGCACAAACACCCCTAATTACTGCCAATTAGGCTAGGCGGGTAGGCAGATTTGAGAAAGCAGGGGGATGTTCAGGCATGGGTGGGCATGGAAACAATTTTCAAGGGCTTAGAACGTGACTGGATGAAAAGGTTAATGCTTTGGAGTGCGAGGGGGATAATAACAAAAGAAGGGGAAGCAGAGCCTCCGTTCTCACCTCCAGCGACGAGCCAGGCTTCTTCTTCAACTCCTCGCATTTCCTAAATTTGCAGATCTGGTGGCCTGTTTTGCGGTTCCGACAACTGCTGCAAACACCACAGTTGATTAGCCGCCTGCAGGGTGCACACACCCCACACCTTTTCCTTTTCTTCTTCGCTGGGTTTCCACTGGATGCTGAGGAATTATTCTGTGGGCAGTCTGCCAGATTGGCAATTTGAAACGCACTGTCTGTAACGGCTGCTGAGGCTGCGGGGGAGTGAAGGGCTGTCATGACGATGACCCCGGGAGGTAATGAGATGCCCCCTAAAGCCGGAATAGCGGAAAAAGTTCCAACGCGTTCTGGGAGATTCATTATCTCTGCTTCAGCAGCGCCGCATTTCAGCTTGTTCATGCATTCTCCTGCTAAAGGTCTGCAGTGTTCGGGGGATAAGGTAGAGAGGAAATTATTATTTGCCATTTGCAGCGTCTCTGGCGGCACGCCAGGCTTCCCCGGCCTCTGGGAGTCATTTCTATGCATGCTGGTCCTATTAGGGTTTATTGCCGCTGATTTCCTTCCCCAGAGCATGGCGTTATCACAGTTCCAAGGGGACATACCAATTCTGGCGCTGGGAAAAATCGGCGTCGTGATTCGGGCAATTTTTGCAGTCTGCGGAAACGCACCGTTCGTTTTGTAAAAGTTCGCAAAAGACCTGTACCTTTCCATTTCTGCGTTATAATCCAAGAGCTGACTTAATCCACCATCCTGGAGATTATCCTTCTGCAGGAGCGACACATCTGCATTTTGTCCATTTTCAATGCAAAGCGCATTGTTTATGTTAGACATGGCTGGGGAAGTGCTTGTCAGTGTTCAGGGGGAGAGCGTGAAGGTGCACGGGCCTTTGTCGAGCTGAAGCTGGTTAGGAACAATGAGTAACCATCCTGGTGTGTCTTCTTCAGCACTAGAAAGCAGAAAACGGAGAAGAAATAACAGTTACATGCACAGGATAAACGGTAAATGGTCTCATGCAAATTCAGCTTTCAACTTCATGTTTCTCTAAAGGTAGCAACTGAACATGGGAAGCATTCTGTGACATGTCTTCAGTCTCTGAGGCTATTAAAAAGCAGTCCAAATGGACCTGCATCTGGTGACAGTGACATGATGAATGTGACAGATCAACCTAGAATTATTGTAATGCTGAACAATATTTGCACATTTCAGGAAAAAAAAAAAGGAACACTTTCAACACTTTTAGACTTTGAGAACAAATGCATTAAACATTAGGACGTGAGTATCAATACGCCAATATATTTTTGTGTCTGCATTTTGAAACATCAGAAGGGACCCTCATTCATACTATATATAAAACAACAACAGCCACAATCTTTAAATAATTACTTGGATTTCTCTAACGAATTAAACTGATTTTCCACAGGACTCATGGTACAGCTAAAGTGCAGTGAATATATCGATTGCATCTGCAGCAGCGGCGATAGCAGAGGCGGCCCTGTCCGTGTAAACAAGACCCTCACTGGTGTCTCTTAAGAGCACCTGGCATTCATTCATGGCCACTATTACAGTGACAGCCCTCAGTGATAGCCAGCGGTGGATTTACAACCAGATCATGGACCAGACCAACCACAGTGTCAGCTGCCTGAGGATAGGCCTCCTGAATGTGTGTGTGGGGGGTGGGGGGCATTTCCTTTCTCTGCCTTTCCAACCAGTCTGTCTGGATTTGGTTTCCACAGATAAAAGCCCATTAGACACATCTCTCCCTACTTCCATTACCGTTTTCTGGGCTTTCTCTTTTAATTGCCAGTCCGTCGCTGGAACCGTCAAGCATTTCATATCCTATCCGTATTTTTTTTTTTTTTTTTTTTTTTTTTCGCAAAGAGCAAAATGCGAATGTGCACACGCAAAGCTGAGATCAATTCTCACTGGAGTCGCCCCAAGAAATCGTCCGGTGACCGCAATCAGATGATTTTGTGCTTGAGCGACGCTCTTCAGAGCAGTGTTGTTACTGAGGTAAGACGTTTGAGCTATTTTCAGTTTCAGAACAGTGTTTAAAGTGAAGTTTTATCCGTTAGAACAGAACAGTTCTAAGACATTGGCAGGCTTTTTGAAGATCTGCACAGTCTGCTCCTTACACAGCAGAAAACACACGTTTACTGCGAGTGTGAGTTCTGCTAACAACACTACGATAAGTCATGAGGGGAAGTTTAAAGATTTGGCCCTATTGTCATTTTGTCTTTGCTTTGAAATAATTGTGAAATCAGGTTTCACCACAGAGCTGTGTGACATGATCATTGCCCTCTCTCACATACACAGTGTGACATCACCTCTTATTCCAAGAAATATGTTTTTTCATGACAGAAAAAAAATAATTAACACTTCTTTATGCATATTTGGACAATTTAATAAACCTTCTGACAGTAAATCTGAGCTTTTACAATATTTTCCAATTAAAGAAAAAGAAAAAACTACCTAACTAAGTACTATAAAGCTCTCCTCCAACTTTTATTTTTGGCCCACAGTTACTTTTCAGCACATTATGAGCACGTTTAAAAACATTATTATCACTGTGAGGGACATGATATTCTGTTTTACGCAGCTTCCAAGTCTCATGATGTTTTTAAGCTGCATGTCTGGCATAAGTGCTTGAACTACTGATAAATTTGATGGCTAGAAATGTTTCCGACATAATTAAGATAACACTGTACCTAGGCTAATGAAAATTCTTGGTCCTTTTGCTTATTTTGCTAAATCTTCAGTCAGGAGTCTTGGGGTTTACTTTTGATTAAAGTTCACACTAAACTTTCAGGAATCTTTGGTTTGTTCATATTTTTACTACCTATTGTGGAAAAGTTGAATCCTACTGTGTCATGGTCAGTAGTGGAAACTGTTGTTCACTTGGCATTTTTCTTTCACAAAAACTTTACATATTCATCCTTGGTCCATCAATAAATTTTTTCAAAGCACCACTGCCAAATTTCTAACCAAGTCACCTTAGTTTTAACAAGTCACTCCATTTCTAACCAGGTACACTGTCTCTCCATTCTCTTTAGAGAATATCAGGAGATCTTGACTATCACTTTTGGACCTCTAAATGGATAAGCATCGACATATATCTCAGACGTTTTAAATCCGAACGTTCCAAGCATTACTCTGAACTCTTATAACCACGACTTGCTGGTTCTGCTGGAACAAGGATGAAAACTAAAGGCATTAGACATTTTTTAAAATTGCTTTCCTTCAATCAGTTGTACTGACTGATATCGTTCTTTTTTTTTCTAGCATAGTGTGATGTTTGCCTCATAATGCAATGTGTCATTGAGTTTTACTTTTACATTAAAGCACATGTTCTTTAAAACGTCTTTCAGTACATTCAAACCATGCACAACACTAAATGATGATGGTTGATAAACTATGAGGGCCAAAAATTGTGGGACTTCTCAGTTTTAGTAAATTACTATAATTTTCAGCGTGTGATCTACCGATCAACAATCGGAGCCATTGAAGGAAAAATTCAGAACTTGCCGTTTTTGGAGAAATAATTATTTCCCCTTTTTTAAAAAAAGAAAAAAAAAACTTTTTATTGTAAAATGTTTAACCAATCTGGACAGTAAAAGAACATATATGCTCTGGGTGTGGTTATTTATAGTTCTTATTGTATTGACAGGTCAGAACTTTAAGGTCATTGATGGAAATCTGCCACAACACGTCTGATCGGTGCAGTTCTATCACTCATTAGAACTGCATTATTAAACTGCATCTTCCCAAAATCCGTTCAAAGAGAGCAGATATCTTCATTGTTAGGTTAAAAAAAGCAAAACATTTAGCCCCATAGACATCACGTTGCCACAACAGCAACAATTTCTTTCCTAAGAAATGTTGAAGTTACTGCACACAAAATGTGACACCAGGGTGCTGTGAGCAATCCCTTCCAGATTTTCAAGTTCAGTGTCGACCAGCAGCCACCCGTAAACAAAACCTCCCTGGCTTAATGATCAGCACCTCCTCAGGGTCATTATTACTTAATCAATTCACCCCTGGAGCGAAATACGCAGCCCAGAGGCAATCAAGTCACGGACATTGATTTTTTCCGCCTGTAAACAAAGTTTCCAGAGACAGAAATGTTCAATACTTGGAGCTGGAGGGAGACAGACAAAAAGGAGAGGGGGGGGGGG